AGGGCCATCGAAAATCCAGCTACCTCTCTACTCGGGTCTTCCCAAATGGACTTCTTGTTATCCAATTTCAACAGATTTACACAGCTACAAGGACTTATCTAGTGTTTGCACTGCTCGATTTGTCGGTTTGCATTCCTCTGTGTAACTCCAACATTGCACGGGTGCCCCATGACCTGCCAGTTATGCTGGTGTGACCATCATTACAGGTATCTTAACCTAATCGTTAGTAACAGTTGCTATAATATGAATATTACATAGATGATTATCCAAATTTTTGCCATCGATAGGATTTGAACACCCAACCTACCACTTGGAGAGTTGACAACCTGACAACTTCACTAGGTTGCCACACCCCTGTTGCTTTTTTTTAAAATTAAAAAAAGCAGTTTTAATTATAAATTTTTTTTTAGCTTTTATTTGCTATAAATAAACTTTTTTGCAATATATATAAGAACTTAGCAAGTTAATAAAAACTTAAAACTTACTAGTAATGTTATATACTATTGCATCATTAAATAATTTAATAATTAATAAATCTCAAATTCTGTCTTTTATAGAAAAATTGAATTATAATCATCATATGCTTCTATGTCATATATACTTAATCATGTTTAAATATTTTATATACTTGGTATAAATATACTAAACTTAAAAATAAATAATAAAAGTTAAAGCTTTTTATATTTTATTATAATTTACATATTTTGCATAAGCTCACTAAGGTTAATTAACTTGTACAAATATTATAATTGTTAGAATATTGATTTAAATAACTTAATAAATAAAGTATTATTTATTTAAAAATAATTCTGTATTATCTAGATCAAGATCTAATTTATTTATATAATTATATCTATTTGTTAATAGAATAATCAAGTGAGAAATAAGTTTATCAAATGCTTTAATTTTTGCCTAAACAATTTACTATATAATGGCTTTACTTAATTATAAACTGTGATCAAATAGTAATATAAATTTGTAAACTTTCACCAACAAAATTTTTAAAAAACTTGAATGAAGATAGAGATTTTTTAAACTCAGAATAATCACTAGCTTCAAAATATTTAATAAGTTTTTGTTGCCAAACTCTACTAATAACAAATTGCTTTTTTTTTAAATAATATGATGAGGCCATGCCTTTAACTTTATTGAAATTCAATTGAAGTTTTTACAAAGAAAAGCTTGCTTTTAAATTACA